AGAATTTCAACGTTTCTACAGCAGTTTATCCGCTTTTTAATTTAGCGCTCCAACCCTGGTTCCAACAACCAAATTTTGCGTACATTTAGTTAAAAGTCGCCATTTTTTTTTTTTGAATCCTCCATATTTCCTCTTGCAATAATGACTGTAGCAACTCCCCAGTTCTATTCTGTTTAAATTACACATTTTTCCAGCAAAACGCACTTAACAAAGAAGTTACCAAACTTTATTAATATCAAAACAATCAAAAAAATAACTGAAACCTACCGTCAATTGAGCAAGATAAAACTGCCGTTTGGTTTCAATAGCTTTTTGCGGAAAAGGATTCAACTCGTTGAAAGCAATCTAAAAAAAATATTACGAAACAAAAACCTGCAAAAAATATGGTTTACTTTTTCAGCACGAAATCTCGTGTCGGCGAAAAAACTGTCTCGAAACATGTACAGGAGCAGAACACTTGCCCGGAATAAAGAGTCTAATTGATAAGGTGCCAAAACTGTGGTTTGAGAATGGGAATTTTCGAAGTGGGCGGCGATGCTTAAAACACACCAAACACGAAAAAGCTAAAAACTTGCCAGTTCCTTATGCTGGCAGAGAAGATGAGCTGGTAATCTTTTTAAGGGACGGCGCTAATATTTCTGACTGTTTGCACCAAAAATGCAAAGAGATCATATTTAAACAAAAACATATCTGGGACGTATCCGAAATTCCGAAAAATGCTCAGATATTTTAACAAAACGGGAACTCTACTGAAAACTTTTGATCTGGCTCAGTGCCAAAATTCTCGTCAAATCTGGACATAGCCCGTCTCTCCAGTCGTTCCTTTACAGGACGGAAAGGTGGTGGGGAGCAAGAAGGCATTTATCGTAGTTTTTTCTTACCTGTGCGAGTGTTTTAAAATCGGGAACTTGCTGCGCTACTTTGCTTAGTGAAGCGTGTACTGCACCAATAGTTTTACATTCCAGTACTGAGGCTTCGGCGAGTTTGAGAACGGCAAGGGCAAAACGGAACAACACCTACAATAAATGCAATATTCCTTTGAAAAACAAAAAACACAAGGAGGAAAAAGTATCGATACATCAAAAATATAACAAACACATTGCTAGAAAATTACAGAAATAAAATCTGTACATTCATAATCCTTGACAAAAACTTCTTACCTTGTTTCCTTCATAAAGAAATACGTCAAAAGTGTTGAGATAAATGGTATGTGGGAAAATATCAACAAAACAGGTGAGGAACCAGCTGAGGGTAAATGCTGAGAGGTCGATTTCGAACTTCCTCAGATGAGATGACAATTTGGGCAGCTTCTCGCACACCAAATCTCGAAGTACCTGCAATTTCAATAAAGACAATACGTGAAAATACAGCATCGGTGGTAGCAGTAAATCATGTTAATAAGCAAAAAACGCGACGTAATTCGTTCAAGTTATTTTAATGCTTCGATAATTCATCGTCAAAAATGCAACTGGGAATCTTCTCCCTAACTGATGCAAACGAAGCTAAGGCATTCATTTTTTCTTTTTTCGTTCTTCCCTTTAAATTGAAATCCAAGTTACGCTGAAAAAAGTGTTACCTTTTGGTCGGCAACGGCACAAATCAACGTTGGAGTATAATAGGCCGCCGGTTGGA